TTTTCCCCACAGTAGTTCACCGTTATTTATGTCCAAGTGACCCTGATATCAGAATTACAATACCCATGTGCCTAGAACCTTGTCCATGCTACCAAAAAGGAACTGAGGTTATGTAGTAACCAGTGAACTGAAGTAGAAAGAACAATTGAAAGAACTAAGACAAGAGAAGTAAGAGTATAAGACAAGGCAGAGTATGAGTAGAGAGAAACTGCGGCTCGTACAAGAGTTGTTAGTGCATGTTCAACGTCAATTTCACTTTTTCCTGACAAACTCAATGGCGGAAGATTAACTAAAGAAAATAGAGAAAGATTTTGGATGCACTATCTCCGTTATTATACATTTGCGACGGTAATGTAAAAGAAGAAAATTATCTTATAATTAGACGACTTTTTCGAATATGATAACAGATTTGGGGTAGGAAAATTGTGTGCCCTAACCTAACCTATGATCTGTATTTTCTTATGCGATCGAAAAATGTTTTAAGACAGAAATCCTGTAAAGATCTTGTCTTATTTTTTTTAAGTACTTAATCACATAGTTAGAATCTTAAGGTTCACCAGATGACCAAAACCAAAATAATATAAATGTTGTTTGGAATTTTTATACTATGAAATTTGTTGTATGGGTGTAATGGATTCCTCTCCTACAAGCGCCGTTTGTCACTGAGTAGCTGAATCTTCTCGAATTCCCCAGCCTACGCCTCCAGCGCCGCCTACGGAGTGGGGGGCAACTATCAACCCACGCCTACCCCCGCCTTATAAGACCTGACACTGCTGTGACCAGCCTCATTCTATTCACTGCCACCAGCAAGCAACACCTCCTCCTCCGCGCCAGCCTGGCGGCTCTCACTCCCGCTGGCGACCTTGGGGTCCCTCAAGCTGCGTGTCCTCCTCTGAGCACCCTCACCAACCAGCTCTCTCTACTCAACGCTTGTTACCATGCTGCCTACCCAGCAACAAGCTGCATTGTACATCCAATACAATATGTATACAGTGAGCACATTGTGAGTTTCCTTTCTCCATCCCATCCTGAGTGTGAACCAATATCTCATAACCCCACAAATGGTGACCCCCGGAGATTCGCACTCACACAGGATGGAGGAGAAACCGATCACTCTCCCAGTCTTCAAACAACATGGAAGACTGGCTTATCCACCCAGAGGCAGCTCTCATCGGCTCTACAGCTACTGTCTCTACACCGCAGGTTAGACACCCTAGAGCAGCACTGCTTCTCTAAGCAGACACCAGCTCCTCTTCCTGCCCCAAGCACCACGTCCTACCGACCCCAGTAGGCGCATCTGAGGACTTGTAGTGGACGTCTCCCCTACAAACTGCGTAGCAGCCACCACACGGCACCTCCACGCATTCCGACGTGCCGTTGCCTAGCAACGAAACTATTCACCGGCGATTTCTCGGGTTTTCCCAACATGACTCATAGCGGCTGCTGGGTATATAAGCTCTGTCTCTCCATTGAGATTCATTCTGCCCATTTTCCTGAACAAGCAACACCTCCTCCAGCAAGCTCCTAGCTGTTAATATTTATTCAACCAGGAAGCCAGCAACAGGCAACATCTTCTCTAACGAAGCTCCTGCACATCTACCTCCTTCAACACGCTACTCACCGAACGTCTTCTACTGAGCAGCTCCCCACCACACGGCATCTCCAGCACCAGACTGTCTATCATATAACTTATATATTATACAAGAAAACCACATTAGAGTTTCCTTCCATCCTGAGTGCTAAACAACATTAATATCTCGATACCCCTACAATGGTGACTCCCGGAGATTAGCACTCACACAGGATGGAGGAGACACTGATCACGCTCCCAGTCTTCAAGCAGACACCAGCCCCTCTTCCTGCCCCAAGCACCACATCCTATGACCCCAGCACACCCGTCCTGCCTCAGACGCTGACCCAGGCCCACACACCCCAGCAGGCGCATCTGACGACTCAGTATCTGCTGTGAGGGAAGCACACAACATCCATCGCCTCCACACCCCCTCTTTTCTCCCTCAGGTACTCCCTGCTAATGTCCTGCACCCTGCTGCTGTCGTGGACCCAGCTGCTGTCACGAGCCCTAATCCGCTTCTGCTGACGCAGCCCCTGCTCCTGACCCAGGCCCACACACACCCCAGCAGGCGCATCTGACGACCCTGTACCTGTCGTGAGGGAAGCACAACATTCATCGCCTCCACACACCCTTTTTCTCCCTTCTCCCACAGATAGTGTGTATCTAGACAGTTGTATTTCAGCGATCGGCTCATCACGCCATCGCCGTTGTCTCACATGAGGCATGCACCGCCCGGTCTGCCTCACATGTGCTAAGCAACTCTACAGACAACAAGTCTCCTACACCGCCTGGAGGGAAGGGGGAGTATTGTAGTGGACGTCTCCCCTACAAACTGCGTAGCAGCCACCACACGGCACCTCCACGCATTCCGACGTGCCGTTGCCTAGCAACGAAACTATTCACCGGCGACTTCTCGGGTTTTCCCAACATGACTCATAGCGGCTGCTGGGTATATAAGCTCTGTCTCTCCATTGAGATTCATTCTGCCCATTTTCCTGAACAAGCAACACCTCCTCCAGCAAGCTCCTAGCTGTTAACATTTATTCAACCAGGAAGCCAGCAACAGGCAACATCTTCTCTAACGAAGCTCCTGCACATCTACCTCCTTCAACACGCTACTCACCGAACGTCTTCTACTGAGCAGCTCCCCACCACACGGCATCTCCAGCACCAGACTGTCTATCATATAACTTATATATTATACAAGAAAACCACTCTGTACCTGCCGCGAGGGAAGCACAACATTCATCGCCCCCACACACCCTTTTCCTCCCTCTCTTCTCCCACAGATCTGGTGTGTCTAGACAGTTGTCTCCCCTAGCAGTCGGATCATCCACGCCCTCGCCGTTATGTCTCACATGAGGCACGCACCGCCCGTTCTGCCTCACATGTGCCATGCAACCCTGCAGACAACAAGTCTCCTACACCGCCTGGAGGGAAGGGGGAGTATTGTAGTGGATTCCTCCCCTACAAACGCTTTTGTCGCTGAATAGCCGACCCGGCAAATTCCCCAGTGTATGCCTCGTGGTCTAGGTCAACCAGCGCCGCCTTACATGACGGAGGTCAACTATTAAGCCACGACTACCTCCGCTATATAAGATCTCACCTCGTGACCTACCTCTTTCTACCTACAGTCAGTCAGTCTTCAAGCAACACCTCCTCCTCCACTCCTGCCTGGCGGCCCTCGCTCCAGCCGGCGACCATGGCGACCCACACCTCGTGGTGACCACTCTTACTACCCACAGCCACCAGCAAGCAACACCTCCTCCTCCTCTCCTGCCTGGCGGCCCTCGCTCCCGCCGGCGACCATGGCGATCCACCAGCTGGTCCTCCTCTGAGCACCCTCACCAACCAGCTCTCTCTACATCACGCTTGTAACCACGCTACCACTTCCCAGCACCAAGCTGCACTGTACATCCAATACAATATGTATACAGAGAGCACATTGTGAGTTTCCTTTCTCAATCCCATCCGAGTGTGAACCAAATATCTCATAACCCCACATGGGCAGTTAATATCCATTGAAATAGTTAATGTGCTTAGTAATATTTATACATTCAAAATAGTATTACTGTGCTGCACAATAAAGCACATTTAATTATCTAATAATATTTATTTACTGAGCCGATCAGCCGAGAAGGTTGGACAAGTACAGCTGGCTGCCTCCCACTGGGAAGTTCGCCCCAACCAGTGACGTCACAACCAATCACAGAGCTTTTTGCAGTCACATGACTTTTTAACAACTTTAACCCTTACTTTTTTTTTTTACACTTTTTGGCCCCCTTTTTTAAAATATAATTACCAATAGCGAATTTAAGCATTTTATTTGCCCATTGACCTGCCATCTTACGAAAAAATTCCGACCGTCAACTCGTCCATTGTATAAGAAGTGGTGACGTGGCTACTGCCTCTCAGAGCCATAGCCAGGGTTGCCAACTCGGATTTTCAAATGTCGCTAGGCTGGTACCTAAAAGTAGCTAAATGTCGCTAAATCTTCCATGGAAAGTCGCTAGCTATTATTCCCCCCCTTCAGTAATTTGATGCAAATTATATTTTCATAATGCCGACTATAATGGACGGAGTATAAATAAAATGCATTATGTAAAAATAAAAATATTATTTTTTTTAAAGTTTAATGTGCACACTTACCTATTATTCAATAGTAATTGCATCCCAGTCCTCTTCGTAGTCGTCGGCAGTGTGAACAACTGTAGAGCTGGAAGCATGTGAAGTGCTTGGTTCAGGTTCTCGTGCAGATATCTTGTAACTGTATGCCTCCACAGTCCCTATCTTTCTTAAAATATCACTAGGAAGTTCATAACTTGCACAACAGGTGTTCTGTCTTTTTAAACCATACTTTATTGTAAGAACTGCCTTTAATGTCGATAGTTTCATTTTGTTGCGCAATTTTGATTTCACAAAGTTCATATTACTAAATGTGCGCTCTACATCTGCGTTTGAATGCGGAAGAGATAAGGCAGCAAGTGCAATTTCAGCCAGATCATGGTAAGGGTTTTCACCTGTCGCATCTCTGTAATTTGCCACTTCTGACCACAATTTTAGGGTGTTAGATGTTTCTGTCCAGATTGTGTGGTGCAGTTTTTTCCACTGGAAATCAATCTTGGTAAGGGTGTTGGAATCTTTTGTAAATAAGTGTGCCAAACCAAGTATATCTGATTTAATAGGCTTCAAGCATTCATCGGCACTCAGAAAAGAAATAGACTGCAGCACACGAATGTTGTCAGGTAAGCGTTGACGAAGTTGTTTTATGAGTTCAACCCGTTCAAATGCATTGTCCCTGTAACCCCGTTGCTATATATTATGGCTCGAAATTAGGAAAACCGAGTTTTCATGGACAGTCCAAAAGTATCCAGAAAGTCGCTAGATTTCTGTGGATATCTCTAGATTTGCGACAAGTCGCAAATCGCTCTAAAATGTCGCTAGAAAAAAACAAAAAGCTCTAGATCTAGCTACAAAGTCGCTAAGTTGGCAACTCTGGCCATAGCCATTAATGGTTCTGCTGCCTATCTTGCCACTCCCAAGTCGACGCCACATCCAGCATTTACAAATAATAAGGTAAAATTCTGTGAGCATACTGATTTGCTATTGTAGAACATCAGTGACATGGCAATTAGAATATCGCGTATGATAGAGATATGATAATTGAAATTACGTGATTGGAATAGGATCGACTGTATGATAATCCTCTTGGCCACTTGCCAGCTTAATACCAGTCAGTAAAAAAAAAAGATTTCACTGTACAATAATAATAATAATAATAATTAACTACATATTTCCTGCCCTTTCACAGTGACTTGTGACATTCGAGATCGAGGCCACATAAATATGTGAAATAAGTTCAGCAGGAAGCTTAATAGCCACCACCACCACAATGGATCAGTGGAGCGCTGCATTTCTTATTTTCCTACGTGATTCCAACTATCATGGCCCGAATGTTCAGCTCAAGATCAATAATATCACCAACTTATACAATCTTCTGTTCGTGCCACAGAGTCGGAACTCAGGTTTGGGTTCACCACCCCCTGCAGCTTCCCTTGTCCAATATATGATAGAAAACGATGCCTTATCTAAAGACGGCGATTTATTTAGAGTAATTTTATGAATTTAACACAAAATTTTATGCTCTTCTCCTGCCTGTTACATAAGAGAAGAAGCCAAATGGAATAAACCCAGAGGATATATGCTGAAATTTGTTCGCCTAATTTTTTAAAATAATAATAGCTGTTTCACACACGAACTTATTTTATATTATTTAAAATTTTACAATTTACGTATATGTGCATAGATATTACATATTAATAAATTTGTCGGTGAAATATTTTGATGATTTTCTTTTAAAATACTTGATTATTCACTTATTATAATATATGTTGCTTTTAATAAAGGCTACAGTCTCCTCAACATTATAATTTTCCCTCCTACTTAACCACATGCAGTACATATTGTTATGCCGAGGCATAATTTGGTATAAATGTTTGTAAACTAGGTTTTTTTTTTTTTTCTAATCCAAGTGTAATGACCCTGGTCGTACACGTCAGTTAACGTAAAATCGGACGATTCATATTACGTTCAATAGCCCACAAAACCTGTAGCTATGTCTCCTTTATTGAGACTCTCATCTGAGACGTCCGGTTTCTCATCGCTCTCAAGCATGGGTGCCGTCCATTTTCTCTGACTTCCTCTCTATAAAGTGAATTTGAACATGAGAGGACACCATTGTTTTGAGTCAACTTAGAGATGTCTTATTAAAGTTAAAGCATACAAGATCCTTTGTGAGTGATGTTGAAAGCTTTAACTGTCTTTATTGTTAGTAACACTGGTTAAGTAAGTGAGTGTCGAGTCTGCCAGTACGAATGGCATCCTGCCAACAGTGCGTAACAGAGATGTGACCGATCGCCCAAGCAGCCGGCTAACGAGTCAATCATTTTGTGAAGAGGATAAAAGAAAGAGGCATGACCGATCAGTGGGGGAAGAGGATAAAGTAAAAGTAAGTAAAAGTAACAGTATGTTCCTGTATCATAAGGATGTCAATTATAATATCGAACAACAGATATTAGTTGCATTTGCTTACCCAAACTATTTAGACCATTCACATTTAGTGTAGCTTATGCCATATACATATTAATTAGTTATAATAATGTAAAAAATAAGTAAAATAAAATACTTTTTTCCTCTTGATGTCTCTTTTTCATCTGTACTCTTGTTCCCTTTATTCACCTCTTTACGGCTATTTCTGTTCCATGCCTCTTACTCAGCATCATCTTACGACCACTAACTGCTCATATGCTCCAGCTCTGTACATGTTCAACCGTTTCCCACCATGGATCATCTTTTCCAATTGGATTCGTTTTCTTCTCATCACCTTTTTTCCTTTCCCAATTTCTAGCTGGGTATTCACTTGACCATTCAGATCACTTTTTTTTACTTTTTATCCTCTTCGCCACTGATCGGCTTGTTAGCCGCTTGGGCGATCGGTCACGTCTCTTTTCATTTATATTCTTCACCAAAAGATCGGCTCGCTAGCCGCCCGGGCGATCGGTCACGTCTCTGTCACGCACTGTTGGCAAATACTGGGCATGCACCGGCTCCTGAATGTACCTGAACCCGCTCCAGTGTTGGTCAAGTCTTCTCTTGAAAGAGCTCACACTCGGTGCCGTCACAACACTCTCTGGTAGATTGTTCCAAGAGTTTACAACCCTCACTCCGAAAAAGTTTGCCCTCACGGTTTTCTGGACTTGCGGCTTCTTCAATCTTGAGCTGTGACCCCTTGTGGGGCGAGCGTCCGCCAGCTCCAAGTAAGGACACTCAACTGAGTAGTGCCCCCTGAGATGCTTATAAACCTCAACTAGGTCCCCCCTTGCCCGTCTGTAGTATAAGCTAGGCAAGTTCAGGCGCTCCAATCTCTCAGGGTAGCTGAGGTGCCGAAGTGCAGGCACCAGTTTGGTGGCCCTCCTTTGAACATTTTCAACCAACTGACAGTCCCTAGCATATCTCGGGGACCAGATGGGGTGACAGTACTCCAGATGGGGAAGCACTTCACTCCTGAAGATCGTCACGAGGGACGGACCGTCTAGATATCTGAACGACCTTCTTATAAGACCCAATAATTTATTTGCCTGATTTACCTTCTTCTCACAATGGCCCGAGAACTTCAGCTCATTGTCAACATACACACCTAGGTCCTTCTCACACACAGTCTCAACTAGTACATTTTCTTCATCCCGTTGGGACATATGGTACGCCTCCTTACCGTTGGTACGCCCCAGGTGCATCCTCTTACACTTCGTGACATTGAATCTCAGCAGCCATTCCTTCGACCATTCCTGGAGCCCACAGAGGTCCTTCTGCAGCTCTTCACAGTCCGCTTGGTTCTTAATTTCCCGAAATAACTTGCCATCATCGGCAAACATTTGTATGGAGGAGTGTACAACGTCAGGCATATCATTTATGAAACAAACAAACAACAGCGGGCCCAATACACTACCCTGCGGTACCCCACTTGTTACAGGTACAGATGACGATTTCGTGCCATTAATCACCACACATTGCTTGCGGTCATGTAGAAAGTCTTCTATCCACGCTAGGACATTTCCCCGAATTCCGTACCCTTCCAGTTTGATTTTCAGCCTTTCGTGGGGTACACTGTCGAAAGCCTTGGCAAAATCTAGGTAAATATTGTCGATATTACCACCCCGTTCTAGAATATGGGTCCAAATATCCAATACCTTGAGCAATTGTGTCAAGCAAGAGCGCCCCGGCATAAAACCAGCAAGCGACACCTCCTCCTCCTCCGCCTGCCTGGCGGTCCTCGCTCCCGCCGGCGAGCATGGCGACCCACAAGCTTGTCCTCCTCTCAGCACCCTCACCAACCAGCTCTCTACTCAACGCTTGTAACTAAGCTGCATTGTACATCCAATACAACATGTATACAGAGAGCACATTGTGAGTTTCCTTTCTCCATTCCATCCCAAGTGTGAACCAAACAACTCGTAACCCACAATATCACCATTAGTTTTCGCTTTTACCTCATTTTCATCATCTTTGTTGTTGGTTTTTAATTAATTTTTCCCCGGTTTGTTCTGATCTTTTTCGTCTGCATCATTCTTGTTTCTGCTTGGTGATAATACAGGTAACCTCTTCACTCTCCTCCATTCTGTTCATGTTTTCACCTCTTTTCGCTTCACACTGTCCCAGTCATATTTATTGGTTCCAAATCTACTGCTTTATATAATTCCATATGAGGCACTCAGCATTAGAAGGGGGTGAAGCTCCACCCTGGGCAAAGTGCATTTTTTGATGGATATCACCATTTTCATCCTTCCTCTACATGTTGGCGTTGGATGTAACCCTCTAGCTCAGTGTTTCTCAAACTTTTTCACTCCATTCCCCCCATGAGGAACACTCAACACCCTCGTGGCCTCCCTTCAGTTCTTTCCCAAGCCCCTCACAAATAATGATGAAAATAAACTGTTTTGGTTCTCTTCCTTTATTTTAATGTTTACAATCACCAAACAGAATGTATAGTTTGTTACAGTTCAATGGGATGGATGACATTGTTTCCTTTCAGTCAGTCGACTGATTTGAGATCGAGTCACTGATAAAGCACATCTCATATCTGGGTCCACATGTAACCAGTTTTGGTTTTTATTCTTTATTTGAAGGTGGAGAAACTAGATTCACATAAATTAGTAGAAAATGGCAAGAGGACTTGAAGTGCGATCTCACTAACTTTTGGATATGACATACATTGAGCACCAGAATATTGTCATTGATTTTTCTTCGTAGAGGTCTCTGGTAGCAGATTCGTCCTGACCATCGTCGGGAATGGCAGCAATATCAAGAGTGCCAGAGAAAGGATTCCTCACCAAATTCCCTTCTTCCTCCTCAAATTCCCTTCTTCCTCCTCAAATTCTGGGAAGTACCTTTTGAGCTTACTTTCCAAGGATTTCAAGTGCTGAATTATTTCATTTTTGAGTGATGGGTTAAGTAGATGATCCTCTTCAATCTCAAGAACAATTGAGATATTTTCAAACATGCAACATTTCCTGCACTGACTTTCCTTTGCCAGTTCGGAAGTTTGTCAAGAAATGCACAAATACAATCCATGTGGTGAAACACATTTCTTTCCTTGCCTTGTAGCTTGAGATTCAGCCTGTTTAGCTGCTCAAATATGTCTGCCAGGTACGCAAGACTTGGCTCCCACAACACCTCGTTGAAGTGACTTAGTAGATCATACTTCCCTTTCATTTCCAGGAACAACTTAAGTTCTCCCCGAAGTTCGAATACTCGATTCACAACATTACCCGTGGAAAGCCATCGCCCTTTGGAGTAAAAGAGGAGGGTTTCATGCTCTGAATCCATGCCTCTACAGAGGTTCTGGAAAAGGCGAGAGTTCAAATCTCCTGCTTTCACAAAGTTGACGCATTTTACCACTGCCTCCAGGATCTTGCAAAGGGCATCAGAGAGGGTTTTCGATGCCAGTGCAAAATGATGGATCATACTGTAATGGACGTCTCCCCTACAACTGCGTATCGCATTCCGAAGCGCTGCCGTATCCTAGCAACCAAGCGAGAGCTGACGCCAGATGGTACGGACGCCAGATGGTACGGTAGCCTAGCAACGAAACTAGTCACCGGCGACTTTCTGGGTTTTCCCAACATGATTCATAGAGGACTGGCGGCTGCTGCTGGGTATATAAGCTCTGTCTCTCCATTGAGATTCATTCTGCCCATCTTCCTGAACAAGCAACACCTCCTCCAGCAAGCTCCACGCTGTCAGCATTCATTCAACCAGGAGGCCAGCAACAGGCAACATCTTCTCTAACGAAGCTCCTGCACATCTACCTCCTTCAACACGCTACTCACCGAACGTCTCTACTGAGCAGCTCCTCACCACACGGC